TATCCTTCACGTTTTAGACCAGGGGTGTCCAGTCCTGGTCCTGGAGGGCCACTATCATTCACATTTTAGACCAGGGGTGTCAAGTCCTGGTCCTGGAGGACCACTATCCTTCACATCTTAGACCGGGGTGTCCAGTCCTGGTCCTGGAGGGCCACTATCCTTCACATCTTAGACCGGGGTGTCCAGTCCTGGTCCTGGAGGACCACTATCCTTCACATCTTAAACCGGGGTGTCCAGTCCTGGTCCTGGAGGACCACTATCCTTCACATCTTAGACCGGGGTGTCCAGTCCTGGTCCTGGAGGACCACTATCCTTCATGTTTTCTGATCACCTGCTCTAACAGCAGAGTTTTATTTGTGTTGCTGGGTGTAACTGGGACCAGTGCACAGTTTTGTTCCACCTCATGTCCCACATGTGATGTGCATGACAATATACATGAACTTGAATCAGCAGATGAAGCTGCAGTTCCACCACAGAACCACAGAACGTGCTGCAGCAGAGAAAGTTTCTTCCTCGGGAAGGAGAAACTAGCCGAGTTCATTTTAGCTAGGTGTCAGTGAAGAGCAGCCAAAGTTCAGCTGCTACAGCCTGGTTGAACTGTCCATAGCCGTGCTCTCATGTCCCCACTGTCTCTGGTCTGAGCCGTGAGTGTTTTTCTGGACTGAACAGATGTTTAAATGTTTTTCATGTTCCAGTGGAGGAGACATTTTATCACTACCAGGAGCAAAGGAGGAGGAGCCAGGGGGTGGCCAGTGGTGGCCTTGGCCCCCATAGATTAATCTGGGCCACCCCAATCATTTGAGGAAACTACATCTTGGATTTGGACGTGGGAAATTATTCAGCGGTGACGTTTGTATCTCCGAGCTGCAGCCACAAACTGACGCTTGTCCCACGTTTATTTTTTAATCATTCTCACAAGACGGACGGATGACCAGACGGATGAACGGACGGATGAACGGAGGTGTTTCCAACCCCCCCAGCTCTTGGACGGGGGCCACCAGTGGTGGGTCTGAGGCAAGCTGCTGTTAAAACAAGCGTCTCTTTGATGAGGCGGTCCTGGTTCATAAGGTCTGTCACCTTTAGACGTGGCTGCTGTAAACGTTATTTACAGCTCTGATTATTAAAAGGCTCCACGAAGACGTTCGTCGTGACTTCACAGCTGAACAATCTGAGAGACGCCGGCTGTTACTGAGGAGCTCACAGCCGAGCCGCCCTGAGGTCGCCCCTTTGCCACGGACACCCGAGCTCATTCAGCTGAAGCTACGTGTTGTGATGGTACGGTGGCCGAACACACACCCCACCCCAGATAAGAGCGACCCACAGACCCCGGCTGCTCTGAAGAAGCTCGGTTTCACTTCAGCACCTCTCCGGTTCAGCCGACCGCAGATCGATAA